CCTGAAGAACCACAATTAAGCAAGCTGTAGAAAAAGAAAATGTATCTCCAAATTATAACAATCCTTCTACGTCCATAGACAATACTACGCCTTCTATGTATGAAGAAAATATCGAGTTTTCACTTGAAATCAAGCCTTTTTCAAAGGCTGGTCCGAGAAAACAGACTCAAGTCAAGAGGAAGAAAAGAAGAGCAGCAATTTTAACCTCTACCCCTGAAAAAAATATTCTTGCTGCAGAGCAGAAAAAGAAAAAGATAAAAAATGATGCAAAAAAGATAAAAGTAAGCAAACACATTTTGACATCAGATCTTAAAGATGAGGAATATTATTGCCTTGAATGTGGAGAAGCGTATTCTGAGAGCTTGTCTGGAGAACAATGGCTTCAATGCCGCAATTGTAAAGGTTGGGCTCATTCAAAGTGTACTTCTAGTACAATATTTGTTTGCATTAATTGCAGTAATAATTAAGTTTAAAGTTTAAAAATAATTTTGAAAAATGTATTACTTTTTACTAACAATAATGCTCTATTGTCGCTTTATATGTATGTGTAAGAATTGAACTTTAAGTTTATTTGTTCTAATAGAAGAGGGAATTCCTTTTTGGAGATTAATTTTTGAGAGATTAATTTTTATATTTTGTTATATATTTAATATTAAAGATATATTTTATGCATAATCTTTATCATGAAAATTTTTATTTCATTTTTGTTCTTTTCATGTATATTTACAAAGAAAATACAGATTATAGAAAGAAGTTATAAATTATAATAAAGACTTCATTAACTAATTCTGCAATTTTTTAAATTATACAATATAACCTTAATACACACCTTAATTACCTTCATGGCTCAACTTGCCCTTCAGAGTTGCCCAATATACCCCATTGGTGGGGCATATTGATCCACTTTGCATCCTTGCAATTAACGTAATTTCTTTCTAATTTACGAGATATATTAAGGGTTTATAAGTACTTAATTGTTGAGGTAGATAAACATGCAACGTTTTAAAGCATTTACCATTAGTCTATCATAATTGTGTGAAGATTTATAATTTAAAGAAAAAGTGGCTTAACTATCCCCGCCTATTACATCAAGGAAAAATATTACGAAAACTTTATGTATTAAGGGGATGCTGAAGTGACGGCCGAACTTGATCGAGGTCGATAAAATAGATTTTGTATCGTCCGCTTACGCCTTCTTCAGGAGACTTAGAGAGTGCGTTCTTTTAGGCATCGGATTTGGCAGCCGCTGCGCATCGGATCTGCCGGCTGCGCAGTTGATTTAAGAGAACGTTATTCTGCGCTCATGTTCTCAAAACGCGCGAATTTTTTTAAATTGAAGAAAAATCATACAAAAAAGTTGTACCAGTAAAATGGATACCATAATTGATACTCTACGTATCGTTTTACCGATTATAATTGAAGATTTAGTCAGTACGGATAGTGATTCTAGTAATTCTGACAGTTCAGATGAAGAGGTTAAATATGCAATTCATACACACAATTTTATTGTTTTTATTTATCATATTAAATATAAATTTAATAATATGAAATATATTTATAGGAAAGGAGGAAGATCGTAAAGATGAAGCATTACATGCAAGTTATTGCTAGAATGGCTCCTGACATTTTCAAAAGTCACTTTCGACTCTCTCGGACATCTTTCGAGGTATTTTACTGTAGTACAAAATTACATATGCGAATCAAATATTGTTAGCAATATTTTTATTAATCGAAATAGCTTTTTATTTTACATTCGGTGTATTATATATATTTTTAGATTGTGAGACATGACATATTTCATCATTATAAAGCAAGGAAAGTTCGACTTGGTAGTCATGGTATATCCATTGAGAAATCATTGCTATTGACATTATGGACTTTGGCGAATCAAGAATCATTTCGTGGGATAAGTGATCGCTTCAACATCACTCGAGGCAATGCACATAAACATTTTTTGGATATGTGCAAATGTTTACTCAATCTTGCAAATGAATATCTGCACTGGCCATCAGAAGCAAAATTCAGGAATATCAAACAGAAATTTACAACTTTGAGGGTAGGACATAGTTTCCCGAATGTTGTCGGTGCAGTTGACGGTATGCACATTCCAATACCTGCACCAATGGAAGATTCAGCCAGTTATTACAATAGAAAAGGATTTTATTCCATAATTTTACAAGGTATCTGTGATGCCGAATGTAAATTCATCGATGTATTTGTTGGATGGCCTGGTTCATCACATGATGCTAGGGTATGGCGAGAGAGTCCAATAGGTTGTGGTCTTGCAGAAGATAATCTAAGATTACCCGAAGGAACGCACCTACTAGGAGATTCCGCATATCCGTTGCATTCATACTTAATGACACCATTTCGTGACAATGGACATTTAAGTCCAAGGCAGAGCAAGTACAATACAAAACTAAGTTCCAAAAGAATTGTTATTGAACAAACATATGGTCTTTTAAAAGGGAGATTCCGCAGACTGCAATTTTTAAATATGTTTCTTATGAACGAGATGCAAACTGTAGTTATTACATGCTGTATTTTGCATAATATTTGTATTGTACACAATGATACATATGAATGTGATGATTATGAAGAAGAAAATCAACAAAATGATGAACAGGCAGATAGAGGAAATGCTTTGATTGCACCCGACGGTGCAGCTGACAAGCGAAATGAAATAGTGGACTTTTTGTATCTCGATAGATAAATACAATGAACTACGTTTATTAGAAATCGACGGCAAACTCGTAAATTGCGACAGTTTAAATTCCGACCTTTTAAATGTAATTATAAATAAAAATGTTTATGTAAGTTCAACTCTTCTTTTATTTTTAATTGAGTATATTTATTTCAAAAAATAATAATCGACATTTCTCTGTGAGACTCTCTGTATTACATATAAAATATATAAACTTTTTAATGATACATATACAACAAATGTGAAAATAAAACCTATATAATTAACTTAAAGTAAAGATCAGTCTGACTTTGATATAATAAAATCATTTATCTTAATACAGTAGTAGTATGTAGTATCACTTTTAACTTATACATATGGTAATACGCGACTTACGTATTTTTGTACTTATATCACTGTGTAATTTTTGTACTTATATCACTGTGTAATTTTTGTTATATTATAAGATTTATATATATATCTATATATACTATATAAAAAGGAACATAATATAGGAACATAACATATTGTTAACATAGTTTTCAAAAATAATTAAGTAGTTAAATATATAAGATAAAAAATAACATAAAAGCATTATCAATATTTTAAATATCATTATTTTTCAAAGTTGTTTTTTTTTAATTCTTTCAATGCAGCAGCAAGGTTATTTATTGCATCTATTTTATTTTGTTCTATTTCCTTTTTTTCTTCCCACCTTGTTTTTTTAAATGTTAGCACATTATCCTGATAAGATCTCTTAATATTACGTTTCTTTTTGCTAGATGGACTATCATCAAATGCTTTATTAATAGGTGAATTTTCAATATCTTCAGAGTATTGTGTTGTATCGCTATCATTTAGAAGTTCAGCATTATGAATCACTGATGGACTTTCATCAATAACATTATAAGTCGTTGCAGAATGAATTGGACTTGAGATTTTAAGTGTAGATCCCAAGGTTTCTGATGCTGGGCAGACATTTTTTTTGCGATGAAAGACTGCATGCATTAATTCAAAATATTCCCAAGTAATTGCACTTTCTCCAGACTTCTTCATCTTATCCACATTTCTGTTATATGTCACCATAAGATTTTTCCATTTTGCTTGTAAATCAGCGGCAGAGTGTGGATATCCATATTGTGCAAATTCCTTACTTATTTTTTCCCAATATTTAGTTTTTTTGCATTTTGGATCTGTAAAAAGGTCATCAAGTGCAAGTCTTTTCTCGATCAAAAGTTTTATTTCTGCAGTTGACCAATTCACTATTTTCTCTGTAAAAATTTATGTATGATTAAACAATACAATATTTTGATTAAATTAATAATAATTCTTAGGAACACCATTTTTTGTTACCTGACTTTGTCTTGGCAGCATGAAATTCTAAAGCTGACTTTCTAAATATCTCTGTAGAACTAATAGTGCAAGAATTTGAACTCGGCGGAGTGTTTGCGATACATTCTGAAAATATTAAAAATATTAAGAGTTGAAGGACTCCTTATATAAAAATAAACGAAAATCAACAAGAACAATATAGGAGTCAGACAAACATACAACGTTTAATTTTTGAAATTATATAAACATGTAATTGATTGAATCTAAGATTAACTAATATTATAAATACTTAAAAACTAATTCAAATATATACGTCGAACTTAGAATTAAATGAAAAATGAGTTACGTCATTTCAGCTGTTATATTGAGCCCTCTTCAGGCATCGAAATTCTTGTAAGGATTGATAATGCAGAGAGAACATTAGAGAGATAAAAATATAAGTTGTGGTATAAGTTTCATGAGTTTCCATACAGAAAACGACATTGTTCCCAAGCGATTCGAAAGTCGTATGTGTAACAATATCTCTGGAAGATCTAGTAACAAGATAATAAGAGTGTTTTGATGAGGCTCATTGATGAGTTTTCTTTCAGAATTTTTGACAATCTGTTCTAATTTTCTATATATTATTTAACATTGCATTAAAAAGACTAATATCTCGTTACTAGATCTTCCAGAGATATTGTTACACATACGACTTTCGAATCGCTTGGGAACAATGTCGTTTTCTGTATGGAAACTCATGAAACTTATACCACAACTTATATTTTTATCTCTCTAATGTTCTCTCTGCATTATCAATCCTTACAAGAATTTCGATGTCTAAAGAGGACTCAATATTAGAGCCGAAACGACGTAACTTATTTTTCATTTAATTCTAAGTTCGACGTATATATTTGAATTCGTTTTTAATTCGTATTTATAATACTAGTTAATCTTAGATTCAATCAATTATATGTTTATATAATTTCAAAAATTTAACGTTGTAGGTATGTTTGTCTGACTCCTACATTGCCCTTGTTGATTTTCGTTTTATATATTCTGAAAATATGAATATTATATTTTAATGCATATCAATACCTTATTTATTTTGCATATAAATGTATAATTCTAATAATATTTCACGAATAATGCACAATTAAGAAAGTACATTTATCATCACTCAAAGCAAAGCAAATCGATCGAGTTCATTTTTAAGATATCCAATAACCTAAAAATAAATAAAATCTAAAATCAATTATAAATATGTGTATGTACCTCCCAATACGATTGATTTCTCGGCATTGGAAGTAAGATTCTTGCCAGCAAGAGACGTTTGTACATCCTTCACATTAGCTGGATCGAAAGAATAAACAATGTTACATATAAAATTTGCATACAATAAAATTACATTCGCAATTCAAAACTTACAATCCATCAGGAACTCTTGTATATTTGAAGCATCGATGGTAAATACTTGTTTTTCACCTGATGGCGACACTCCAGCATAAAAATATATGTTTTTATCACCCATTTTAATAAATTTTTCTTGCAACTTTTTATATACTGCCGCTTTTTTTACGACCACACTAGATCCGTAGCCAGCAGCCGGCTGCGCAGCTAATTCTAATCATCTGCGTATCCACTGCGCATCCATTGCCAAAAGAACGAAAATCTGCGCTGCAGTTGACTGCGCAGTTGTGATAAAAGAACGAATTACTGCAAGAACTGCTGTATCCGATGCCTAAAAGAACGCACCCTTCGTCTGCGTATCTACTGCGTATCCATTGTCAAAAGAACGAAAATCTGCGCTG